CAGTGTCTCCGGTCAGCTTGTTGAATTTCAAATTCACATTGCATGGGACGATCTGTGTAAACAAGAAAAATGACACAATGCATTAATGCCAACACTAAAAACAAAATAGTTGTTACAAGTTTCATATAATTTTTTACCGCCGCATGATGAAAACTCGGCTGGAAGTAGATGCCGAACAGCGTGCTAGTTACAAGGCTCCTGGCGCACCTTGACTTGCACAGTCGACATGCTGGTGGTGGTGGTGGCGCCATTTTCCTAAAGCAATATGAGCAAAGATGAATGATCCACTTCACAGAAAAAAAACAATAACATAAAGCTAGCTAGCTAGAGAGCACCCTTCAGATACTAGTAGAAAAAGGGCCTAATGTGAAGCTCATTAGTCCCGGTTTGTAATTGAACCGGCACTAATGTGACCATTAGTGTCGGTTCCAATGGCTAGCCGGGCGGCACTCATTAGTACCGGTTCATGATGAACCTTTACTACCGGTTCGTGCCATGAACCGGTACTAAAGAGGTGGTGGTCTTTAGTACGAGTTGATGGCTCCAACCGGTACTAAAGACCCCCCCCCCTTTAGTCCCAGCTCGCTAGTTGAGAGGAGCTCGCACCGGTTTATAAGCCCCGCCGCGGCTACCATGTCGAGCTCCTCCCTAAGCAGGCCTTTGTGGGCCTATTGCAAGTCGTCTGCCCTGTGGGGCCTACTGGGCTGTACGGGCCTGCATCTTGGCCCAACTAGAGGTTGGGTTTCTAGTCGTATGCAGGCTGTGCCGGCCCAGTAGGTGGGCTTTTTTTTGCTTTATTTCAAAATAATAATAATAATACAACCTTTAGTACCGGTTGGTGTTACCAACCGGTACTAAAGGTCTCCCCGCCCCCGGCACTGGCTCGTGCCACGTGGTGGCCCTTTAGTGGCGGTCCATATTGACTGGTACTAAAGGGGGAAACCTTTAGTCTCCACCCTTTAGTGCTGGTTACAAAACCGGCACTAAAGGGCCTTACGAACCGGTAATACATCTTAGTTCTGCACTAGTTAGACTTGCTAAGTGAGTGAGTAAGTATAGTAAGTGATATAAATTAAAGGTGTCTCTGAATTATGAGAGAGACCCTTGCTGTCTGTGTCTGAACCTGGGTGATGCTTGTAGCAAGAAGATATCTATCTAATTTGCACACCAGCAAAAGCACACCCCCAACCCTCACAAGAAAATATATATCTAATTTGCACACCAGCAAAAGCACACCCCCAGCCCTCACAAGAAAATTTGATAAGTCCAACGTAAACAACTACTGTGAGCATAACATACACAACACATCAACACCAGTAACTTAGCACTTGCAAACCAAATACTTGTATCAAAACAAATATGTACCAGAAAAAATAACGAACTACCCCTCACTGAGCCGCTGTCAATTCCATTAGCATTTGAACTTCCCTACGGAGTAGTTAATGAACTACACTAGCATTTGAACTACACTATGGTCATGGTCTGCCCTGTTACTCAAAGAAGCTGGACATCAAAGTTTGATTATAATGTGCTAGGGATAGCATAGAAATAGTAGTAATGCACTACAAGGCGCAAGAATAACCGAGAAAGAACCAAACATCCTATTATTATAACTGACCCACAGGGTCAAATCCTCTAGATGTGACATGAGCTCAAAAACAGAGATGTAAGTAAATCAGGCAGAGTATATATATTTGTTTTCTTCAATTATCCATGACCTACAATAACATCACTTTTAGATAAATGCAGATGTAATCAGGGAAGCAGTTAATCTGTTCAAATCTCATGCTACAGACCCACGCAATGCACTGTGTTAGTGCCAACAATGAACAACATCTCCTGGGGATCTAGTTATTGTATGCATGAAAAATCAATCAATCAATCAATCAATCAAGTAATCTAATTATGGCTCTAAACCCCAAGCAAAGCAATCTTAGTGTTTCCTAACCAAATCGTAAAGCATCAGTTCATGACAACCATGTCCGTTCCAGATCTCAATCGATCAAGCAATCGGGAAAGGGGGGTGGCCTGGTGACCTCTCGGGGTTGGCGTGGTGAGACGAGGAGGGGGGATGGCGTGGTGACCTCTCGGGGTTGCTGACGAGGAGGAAGGTCGATGACGAGGGGGAAGGACGCACCGGGGACAAAAGCGTGCACGTGAGCCGTACGTGGAAGAAGATACCGGTGAGGGGAGGGCAGTCGGCCAAAAGCGGACGGCGAGAGCATGCGGGCGGTGACAGAGGGGGCGGCGAGAGGGAGAAGGAGTAGGGAGGAGCATTACCTGCGTCGGCGGTGGCGGTGGTGCGCGGTGGCTGGGGGAGAAACCCTAACCGCGGCGGCGTCGGGCAGATCGAAAGTGAGGGGTGCGGGGGAGAGGGGGGGTACGTGTGCAGGCCTGCTAGTTGTAGTAGTAGTGCTGCGTATGGGCCGGTGCTACTGCTAAGCCCACTAGCTGTAGCGCCGGTGGCTAGCCCACGCTACAACTAAGTGGGCTACCGTTTCTGGCCCTGCGCCCCACATAACAGCAGCGCAGCCCATGCTAACCAACGCTGCTGCTAACACATACCAGTAACGCGTTTTGCACCCAGCGCTAGTGGTAATTACCAGTAGCGTGGGGGCCCAAACAAACGCTACTGCTAGACTTCAATCTATAAGCATTTTCCTAGTAGTGCCCACTAGATGCAAACAAGACAAGAATGCATCTCAGAACTCTAGACCAGATCCTTTGAACTTGTCATCCACGAGGCGATCCCTTCGTTCTCCCATTTCGTTGCTCATATGGTTCACTCAGGCCCCGAGTTTCCTTTCCTAAACAGTGAAAATATTACCTGCCGCATGCTCCGTACCACCTGTTTCGTTGACGTCCAAGTTGCGAAGTGATTCGAAGCTGCAGAAGCTCACAACCTGATTGACGACCCAACTGTTCTCCTCTTCGGTGAAGTGACGTTTGTTGATGATGATTTTGGCAAACAGCAGTCGAAGGAAAAACCAGCGGATACAATGGTATGCGATGCCACCTGACTTGGAAGGAAAAAACGAACCGTGGTGATGAAAGTGAGCAGTTACACTTGACGCTTTCCGAAAACCTAATTCACCCTTTTCTGATGCAAGATCACAAAGGCAAGAGGTTCCAAAGACTTGCTCTGCCGCTCGTGGGTGGACATACCAGCGTTCCGGATGGGGACATGATGACGCCAGAAACTACCTAACTCGATTTTATGTACCTTTTGGCGGTGGTTGACAGGTCATATATATAGGAGCACCCGATGTTCTTTTGTCACCATCACGGTCTACGCTGACTAGATTCCCAACTTCTAAACAATTTACGGGCCAAGAAACCAAAAAATGAAACGACAAAAAGAATTGTGCTCTTGCAAGGCACAAAACAAATTTCAGAAGACCATTCACATGCTTGCTGCACACCCGGGCCCTTCGCACGGGCACCAACCCGGCCAGGTCAGGCGAGCGGGCGTGTGTTGTTCTCTTCCTCTCCTCGTACCCATCACTTATTGAAGTGTGGAGACTCCACTATATATGTTTTTTTTTGCGAGGGACTCCACTGTATATATATATGTTGGTCACACTCCACCTCCACTTCTGATGTGTGACTAAATATTGCACCTCCACCTCGGTGCCATACATGAGTGCTTTGATTTATTTGGAATATGAGAGTTATTCACATGAGCGAAGCCCACTAATTCTAACAGTCGGTACTGATTTGTTGCAAGTAGTTGGAGTAATGCCTTTCTTTGTTTTCTCTTCCTCTTTTTATTATTATTTTTGGTTGTGTGTATGCTTCGACTAGGTCATGACATTGTATTGGTGTGCAGAGGCTGCGTGCAATTCGTAACATTCTTATATCAATATTTGTGCAAAAATAAATAAATCTTAATATTACTCTTTATAAAGAAACACAAACTGATCTTTACCGGCCGCAACTAACTTTTCACAATGGCCAGGTCGCCATAAACATGATTATTTAATTTTATTGCAGTGTACATAGACTTCATGATACATCAATATAATAGTATAGGCACTCCCACTGCTAGATGCAACACAAGCATGCATCTCAGAACTCTAGACCAGATCATTTGAACTTTTCCTCCACGAGGCGATCCATTTTTTCTCCCATTTCATTGCTCATATGGTTCACCCAGTCCCCCACCTTCCCTTTCCTAAACAGTGAGGAGTGTTGGATGAAAATCTTACCTCCTGCACGCTCCACACCGTCTGTTTTGTTAACGTCTAGGTTGTGAAGTGATTCAAAGCTGCAAAAGCTCACAACCTGATCGACGACCCCACTCTTCTCCTCCTCTTCGGTGAAGGGCACATCGAGGAAGCTTGCGAGCTTCCTACCGACCATGAACGGATCAGACACAATCTCTTCATACTTGAGAAACATTACCTCTTGCGGCCTCGCCAAGCTTTCTTTCCAGTACCGGAGATAATGGTCCCAGAAGGGCCCGAATGGGGAGAACCCTTCGCAAAACATGCTGAATGCATCGTCGAGGGTGATAGGAGCCCCTTTGCCCATCTTGTTGTCGAAGTGCCACCTTGACACGAAGGCGTCTTTGGGCTCGCGGCAGAGGTACACGACCCTGCAGCCGACGGTAGAGACGGCGGGCGGGAGGAGCGAGAGAGGCAGGTGGGTGGCGAGCAGCCTCGGCGAAGGGAGCGTCTCGAGGAAGTCGAGGTCTCCACCCACGGCTCCGATGAAGGGCACGACCCGTTGTGGGTTGGTTGGTTGTGAGCAGAGGGCTGTCGGTGAAGTCGCAGCGGGAGCGGCTGCAGATGGTGAAGGCGAGGGCCTTGAGCCAGGTGGTGCCGCTCTTGGGGTGGGTGGCGAGGATGATGTCGTCGCGCCGGGGCTTGAAGTTGTCTCTCACGAGCATGAATTCCCTCAGCATGTGTGATCTCAGCCAGCAGTTGTTGTAGAGGGTGAGCGGCGTCGACCATCCTTCCCTTGTGGGAAATGTGGCCACGAGAGCTTCAGCTGGGTCATTGCCGGAGCTCTCTTTGATCTCAGATCCAACCTGTGCCATACTGAGTGAGAGGTGGAAGAGTTTGTGGGTCGACCTTAGCTAAGGGATTTAGAGGTGTTATATAGAGGTAACCATGACTGACTGGTAGCAGATGTTATGAGCGAAGCCAGGGGTGTCGATGTCTTCAGTAAAAACAGAGTAAGGTCTTGATTTCTTTAGTCAGGTAGGTTCATGACAGGGATGTGCTAGCTAGCCATTCCTACCTGCCTACTGCCATCAATCAATCATCCTCATCTCCATCTTCATACTTTTTGCTCGCCTCTGCCCTCATTTCTCTCACTGGCCGTAGGGCATAGCATCAGTCGATTCAGAGCAAAACCTTCTCTCTTTTTTTGTTTCTCTTACGTGGTTCTCATAGTAATAGTATTTTTCAGATTCCCAACAAGCTCCATGAAATTTTGGAGGTTAACCGTGGGTCATGCTTCCTCCTTACTACCTCCGTAATTTGTGCTAAATTTTGACTAAAGATTTAACTAACAAAATGTTAGTGTATGTCAACAAAAATTATATCCTTGGATTCGTATTTGAACATAGTTTTGAATGATATAAATTTTAGTGACATGCATGAACATTTTGTTAGTTAAATTTATGGTCAAATTTTGACGCATATTACAATAAGGACCAATAAATCAGGACGGAGGTACTACATTGTAGTAGACATTTAAAATTGTACTTATCGATGTTCCCATATCTGGTACAATAATCTAGAGTATGGCACTACAGGAATCAACTTATTTGCCATCTGCCATGGCTGACGGCAAATGCACCAAAAGCGGACGGCAAAGCTCTTTGTCGTCCGCCACCGACGACAAATGTGCCCGGCAAAAAGAGTGACGGTAAACAGGTTCTTTGATGTCCTCTTCTTCAAAGCGGACGGCAAAGGCCCTTTGCCGTTGGTGGCAGACGGCAAAGAGTTTAGACGGCAAAAAAGATACGTTAGCCACGTTAGGTGGCTAACGGGAGGATTTGTTGTGTGCCACCAACGGCAAAGGTGCTTCGACATGTCACCCGGTCAAACCGAGCGCGTCGCCCGGTTAAACCGACTGTCGTGGTACTAAGACTGACAGTAAAAATATGGGGTACGTAGGAGGAGGAAAGGCCCTAGCTACAGTGAGGTTGTACGCAAGTGTTTACGAGTTCAGGCCCCTCTCGGAGGAGGTAAAAGCCCTATGTCTCGATGCCCGAGGCGGTCGACAGGATTTCAGTATATGCATGTGTGTTACAGGGGGTGCAAACCCTTGTCCCACAGGAGGGGTGGCTTATATAGAATGCGTCAGGACCCCAACCCTCCTCCGTTACAGAGAGTTCAATGTACATAAAGGAGGGGCGTTACTGATAACGCCAGCTATAAGTGTCATTAATGCCCATGAAGACTACAGAGTGAATGCCGGACCGTTGCAGTTCCGTGTGACTCCTGGTCTTCATAGGTCGAGTAGTTTCTTGTATGGTCGAGTGGTCTTCGAAAAGGTGGGATACCCGAGTGATATGATTGGTCGAGTGGATTTCACTCGACGTCTTCGTTGGGTACTCCCTATTGTCTTTTGAGCTTCTTTGCTTCTAGGGTAGTGACCTTGGGTAGGGTATGTTGGTTAGGCCTATGACCCTACCCTAGGTCTATATCCTCATCACTAGCCCCCGAATGGATTGAGGTCCGAGTGGGGAGAAGATTGAAGTGGATTTTGCTTCGACCCTTGTGCTTCACGAATACTTGTGTTGAATGGGAGGTTCGCATTGGAACTTCAACTTCGTTTCAGTCACCTCGATCGATTCAGAAGTTGCCGAGTGAATTAGTAGCATCATATATCGATTGTTGCCTTCTGTTGCGAGATCTTCGACGCGATTGGTTACTGCGTATCCCGGATTTGGCAGGATTCAAAATTTCGGGGAAGCGCGAGGGGTGGAGCGTGCCGCGGTAATCGGGACGAATAGGTAGGAACGCCTCGATCCTCGCGCCACCTTTTTCGCCACATATCCAGCGCACGACTGCTGCGGGGATTTGACAGGATCGCCCGGGCCCGCGCGTCAGCCACTCGGAAGTGGGCCTTTAAAAGGCGACGGGGCCGAGGCATTTGCACTGTGCGCTCCCAATCTCCCCCTTTCTCCTCCGCTTCTCCACCACGCGTAGCTCTTCCGCTCTCGACGCCGCCGCTACGCCGCAATGGTGAAGGACAAGACGGCGGCGCTGGAACGCGTGAAGAAGGCGACGGGAGCGGCGAAGGGCAAGAAGACTCAGCGGGGGTCATCGTCGCGGTCGGCGCTGCCGCCGGGTTGGATCCAGGGCGACTAGATCCGATCCTCGCTCCGACAAGAAGACCTGGATGAGCTAGCCGAGTCTGGGCTGATCGCGAACGGCGCCGCGAGGTTGTCGGAGGGGGAGACGGAGCCGCAGCCGCGACCGGGTGAGTGCGTGCTGCTCGCCACCCATGTCAACCGTGGTTTTTCGCTTCCCCCGCACCCCTTTTTCCGGGGTTTTCTGAACTTCTTCGGAGCACAACTTCACCATTTCTCTCCCAACACCATCACCTATCTCGCGGCGTTTGTGTCCATGTGTGAGAATTTTCTTGGGTGTCGACCGCACTGGGGCCTCTTTAAGCACATCTTCACCATCCATTCCCAGTCGGTCAAGAAGGCAAACTCGAGTGACGAGAAAACACACGTTATCCAAATGTGTGGGGGTTTGGGTATCCAGAAGAGGAAAAGGAGCTCCTTCCCTTCCATGACTCTTCCTGAGTCGGTCAGGGGCTGTCAGTCGACCTGGTTCTACTGCCAGGATGTCCCTACTCCAGGCCAGTCGACTGGACTTCCCCCTTTTTCCTTCGATCGTGTTCAAACTCCTTCCTCGCTGAAAGTGACTGCTGTGGAGAGGGTGGAGACGGGTATGCTGGTCGAGAGGGTGGTACAGCTGATTAATCAGGGTGTGACCGGAATGGACCTACTAGAGGTGTTTCTCAGTCGACGCATCTAGCCGCTTCAGGCTCGGGATCACTCAATGTGGATGTACTCCGGTGCCAATGATACTGCTCGGGTTCATCCAGAGGAAGTCCCAGCCAAAACGGTGGCTATGTGGTTGAAGAGCATCACAGGCAACAAGGACAACCCGAGGGGGCAGGAGGGTTGTCCCCTTCAGCGATAGCAATCCACCAGACAAGGTTCAAACTTTTGCTACCGACTGTTTTCTTGTGTATCTTGCATCTGTCTCTGAATCCGATTGGAATTCACTCGACTCCTTGTTTTGTAGGTTTATACTGAGATGCATTCCATGCCAAACGGCGAGAAAATTCAGGAGCAGGACCAGGAGGGGGAGGATAGCGCAGATGAGAGTGGCGAATGGCAGTCCTCGGACGGTGACGACGAAGAGGGGAGCGACGAGGAAGACGACAACAAGGGGGTCGACTCACCGCCACGCTTGGAGTGTTGATCCAAACACCATCACGATCCAGCGGACGAGCGTGGCAAGGCCGTGGCTCCTAGTACCCAGGCGTAGAAGCGCACTCGGACGTCGACTCCGGAGCCAACTGAGAATGTTGCCAAGCAGCCCAAGGTTGTGCCCTTGAGGACTTGGAAGACCCTGCCGAGGATCAAGATGGACGTTCCAGTCGCCTCTGGGTGAGTGTTTTATCTTTCTGTGTTCCTTTCTTCCGATTGATATTTCTGTTGTTACCGAGTGGACCATGAACTTTTTTTAGCCCCACGACTTCTGTGACTGACATGGATGTTGACAAGGCCCCGGGGGAAGAAGAGGCTGATGACGCAGTTACTTCTAGAGCCGGTAAGCTTTTTCCAATTTGAGCTTGATCTTTCGACTAATTCACTGAATTCTCGAGATTGTCTGTGTTGCAGCGCCGCGAGATGTCATTACCAGATGACGAAGATGAAGAAGCGCCTCCGAAGGAGAGGAGGAGGAAGGGCATGCCTTCGAGCGGGAGGGCGGCTGAAGGACAAGTGCATGAGCCGGTGGTCGAGCAATCCGGAGATCCGTCTCGGGCCAGCGTCTCATTTGCTAATCCGCTGTCGACTGACCGCCCGTCAGGGTCGACTGCTCAGGCTCCCGCTGCTCCGATACAAGTCCACACATCTGATCCTGTAGCTTCTCCGACTACATTGTCGGCATCCCTCTTCACCACCTACCAGACCACAGACCATCCACCGAGCGCTGCCCGGGAAGCTCTTCTCCAAGTGAATCTTGTGAGGGAACAGATGAAGGTGGTGCATGAGGCCAGTCAGGTTGCTTACAAGGCCACAACCGCTCTGCAGGCGAATGTCAAGGTTAGTTGATCTCTGACTGATCTTTTGAGTAGTGAAAGTTACGACCGTCTCTTTACTGTCCGTATGATGTCTTTGAATGATTGCTTTGGAACCTTTTATGTGCATCTATGAGTATTCATTCCGCATCCAATCACCCACTCGGTGTTTTCCTTGTAGCCAATCGGAAGTAGCTTCTCTGCTTGAGTCGACTAGGTTAAGTTGAGTTTTTTTCTGGACCAGTGGGGGCACGCATAGTGCACCCACTGGGTGTAGTCCCCGAGATCGCGGTCAACTGCTGGCAATTGACTGGGGTCTGAGAATAACGTTTCCATTTTTTACTCCTGCTGGGCAGACCATGCTGAGTGTAAGAACCGGACCAGTGGGGGCACGCCAAGTGCACCCACTGGGTGTAGTCCCCGAGACTACTGTTGAATGTTTGATTCGGCAGTAGTCTGAGACTAACTTTTGTTGCTGTCGACTGACATATCTCTTTTGTTGACTGTAGAACTCTTGTGAACTTGGGGCTCAACTTGCTGAGCTGGACAACATTAATCTTGACTTGGAGTTGGCCAGGAAGAACCTCAAGAAGGCCCAAGACGAAACGACTGCCATGGGAGGTAACCACTCGGAACCTTTCACCTTATGATTCCCCTTTTTTCTTTCCAATCTCTTTGAACCAAGTGACTCGACTCGAACAGATATGCGTAGTGAAAACCGTCAGCTTCAGGCTCGTCTGAAGAATGTTATTTCTTTAG